TTTCAGAGCAAGGGAACAAGCCAGACTTTCCATCAGTGCTCACCCTCCCAGCCTGGCTCTGCTGAGGCGTGTGGCTGTGGCGTGCATCAGGTCTTGGTGATTTATTTATTTCTCTTTTCTGAGTGCTCTGGAGTGAAGCTTGTTCTCTGGCCCAGGGATCCCCCATCCAGGACAACCAGGCTGGCAGACCTGAGGGAAAAGGAATGGGGACAATTACCATAAGGGGAAAAAGTAGACCTAAATATTTAATCCATCTCCAAGTCAGCTTGGCAGAAATAAGATTTTTATTTACAAGTGTTTGCACATCCACATGTACAGTGTACATAGTATATAATTTATAAATGCTATTATAACACATAAATCTTGTCAATTTTGCTATAACTGCTTATATCTATCTTACCTGTGGGTGTAAAATAGCAGTTGTGGTGGAAGAGGCATGAATCTAAAGGGAAAGATACTAAAAGGAAAGCGAAATAGAAGAGTGCTGCACGGATAAAGTGTGATGGGGCAGCAGTCTCCTGGGAGGGATGTCTCTGTTTCCCTGAAAGTCTAAACAAACACCATGACACTAATGTGCTGCCTTCATTTAATAATGCACTGATCTATTTATTAATTGATTGCTTTTCTGCCTTGTTCTTTTTTCCTTTGCTTTTAGTAAAGAGTACCCGGTTGTTCCCAGGAGCACAGTGAGACAAAAAGTGTCCTCGAATCACAGCCCCTTCAGTGGTGAGACCAGGGTCCTTTCTGCCTCCTCCAACCTGGGCTCCCAGTACCAGTGCGAGAACGGGGTGTCGAGCACCTCCCAGGACCTGCTACCGCCTGCCAACCCCTACCCAATCTCCCAGGAGCACAGCCAGATCTACCACTGCACCAAGAGAAAAGGTCAGACCTGGGCTGCTCCCCCCTCGGTGCTTCCCCCTTCCGAACGCGACTGTCAGCGTTGTTTTCTGATGTTTCCCCTTGCTTGCAGGCTGGACAGCCCCAGCCTGCTTTACGGTGACAGTCAAGGCTGAGGAAGGGATGATGCTTTATGGTGACACTTGAGATGGAGTGAGGGATGAGGGCTGTGAATCAGAGATGGGCAGCTCATCTCACCGGTGGTAGCCTAAAACTCTATCTCTGCTGCTGGGCTGGGAGCGAGCTGTGTGGAGGGGTGGCAGTACCGTTCACCCGCGTTGAATCCACATTCAGTAAGATAGCTGGTGCCAGAGATAAAGATGACTTATCTGTCTCCATAGCCCCCCAGACAGGGTTAATCTCCAAGTGGAGATACCTTGACAGCTTGGATTTTGCACAGTTTTCAACTAAGAGTCTCACAGTTGGGAGACTGTTGTCTGTACGCAGAAAGCAATTCCACTTCAATGCTCGGTCTAATGAACGGGGCGTGGGATTGAAAATCATGATATCCATGTTCGTTCCCCTCTGGTGTGACTGACTTGCTTTGAGAGAGCTTCAGGGATCAAACTGTGAGGGCTTTACACTGACTGCTGAGCTCGCTCTGGCATGAAGAGCCCCATGATATCGATGGGGTAATTGTTCTTGGGCAGGAGCGAGTGGTTTGCAGTCTCTCCCCTCCTCTCCTAAAGCAATTGGAACGCTTAGATGCAGAAACACTTGCAGGACTCGGATAGCAAAAGCCTTAGATCAGCTTCACCCCAGACACTCAGAAGAAACTAGGGAGTTTCCAGGGCTGAACTCAACCCTGTGGGGTGGACAGGAGATGGTTACTGCCTACCCCCTGTTCCCCTTCCTCAGAATTTAGTCTACATTGCAGGGGAAAACCTAACAGGAGTTAGCATGCACCATGGCATTTGAATGCACCAGGAATTTCTCCAGCCTGGTAGCCTCTCCCACAGCAGATCTCTTCCTGTCTCCCCGTACAGTCCTATCAGTCAGCCACATGTCATTATTTTTAGTAACGTAACCCCTGGGGTGCTGGGATGTGCAGTGTAGACACACGGTCTAAGGTAGAGCTGGGGAGTGCTGGCAGACGAGGTAGGAGGGCAGTGGAAATATCTCGCATCCTTGGTGAATCCCGTGTATGTTGTAAGGGCGCGTTTGTGGCGTATAAGTATATATGGAAAATAAAAAAAGTTGATAAATCTTAATATTTTCCTGATATGAGTTTAAGCCAAGCATTGAAAAACAGAGGCATCATTTTCTGACCGCTCCAGCTGACCGGGTGACTCCTGTGCTCACACAGAGTCTATCAAAGCAGTGACTGGAAACGATGATGCTAGACTTGAGCTAGCTGTAGGGTAGGGAGTAAGGAGTTGCAGTGGACTCCCAGAGTGTCCCCTAAGGTCAGACGTGCGTTGTGTTTGCTACCTTGCTACCACCACGCTGGTGTGGGACTGTGGATGTGAGGCTTTAGGACACAGATGGGTTGCTGCAAAGCCCTGCTGTTGGTGATGGAAAGGCAGGTCCCGTTTGCCCTCAGCGTCCTTCAGCCTGCGATCCGTCCTTGGTGCTCCTTTGCCCTGGGAGCTGAGCTTTCACCGCACCTCTTCCCCTTTGCAAAAACTAACCAAAACAGGCTGGCCCAAATGGCAACAAACCCTTTGGACAATCTCTGACTGCTGTGTGTCCCCGCACTGCAGGGCAATTCATCATTCGCCTCCACATTGTAGGGTGATAAGGAATCAACAGAGGTTTCCTTCCAGTTTTGGGATTCCCGTTAAGTGGTGTCTCCATGGGTGGTTTCCCTCAATCCCCCAATTATCTCACTTCCTCTTATTGTCACAAAAGAGACGACTATCTGCCCCGTAATAAGCTCCCCGGCCCCTTTTGGCCTGCGTGGCCCTTTCGAAAGTGCAGGAGACTGGCAAAGCGAGTCCTTGTCTGTACGGCTGATGGCCCCTCATTATCTCTACGATGGCTTGAGTGGCACAAGCAGTTAAGGGCCTTTTATCAAAGCCGCCAAATGCTTTAATCAAAGAGAAGCAATGTCCTGTCTGATACCACCAGCTTCTTCCAGGAGCCTGGGTCTCTGCTTTCCCTCCTTATGCCTTTTTCCCCCTCCCCATGCATCTAGTAAATCGAAAACAGCCACCAGGGCTTAAAGAAAAGAAACACAAAGTTAATGGAAAACAGAGAGCCAACATAATCTGCCAAGCAGCTCTTTGCAAAGTGAAATTAATTAAAAAAAAAAAGTCAGTGGAGATGAGCAATTCCCTTCAGATAAATCAGAATGTGATACAGGGTTTCATCTCAAACTCAGACTGAGCGTGGCACTTTCTTTCAGGACTGAGCAAGGATTTTTCTTGAACTTGGGGAAAATAACATTATCTGCAATATTCTTCTTTTTCTTCCTTTTACAGCTTCTCATTTCCAAGTGAAACATTAAGCTTTCCCTCACAGCTCTCCTGCTTTCTTATTTTAATCTTTTTCTGCATAACTTTTAACAAGCCTCACTGTCTCAGAAAAAACGAAAGCAAAAGCGTGCTCACTGCTAATGCACCTCTGTCTGTTTTTTGGACTGTAAGTTCTGTCGATTTCATTGGATCATCAGCTCCCCAAACATGGACTCCTCCTCAGTCAGTTTAGGTTTTATCTCAAGCGGATTATTTCCTTTTCTCAAGGCTGAGGTTGTGGATAAGCGCTCACAGGGGCAGAGGGCAATTTGACTGGGTTTGAGACCAGCTGGTGTCTGTATCTTCTGTAACAAATACCACCACTGTTTTCCAAGATAGTCTCTCAGACAGGGCTCCTTCCAGCTTTGACATCTCATGATGCTTCTATGTATCCTTTTCAATCAGGAGGTCAAGTCTTGGTTTAGCCTCGGTTAAGAATAGGTCTGTATTCAGGGAACTCAAAGGCACCTTATTCAACTTCTACTTCCTTGGTGACCTAAGACAAAGATTTAGGTCTGTGGTTGACAGTGTTGTTCTTAGCTGTCAAGTCAAGATGGATTCGCTCTGGAGATCTGATACGGAGTTACATTAGAGGAGAGCAGCAGGGCGGCGAAGTTATGTTATCTCTGAAGGCTCCTTTGTTTCAGGGAGCTGATCTTCTTCTTGGTGAGGATGGAAGCGAGGACACATCCCAGAGCCCCAGATCTGACAATTCCTCGTGCGTGGGTGGGAGCACAGGGTCGCAGCATTGGGAATGACCCCAGCGTGCTGCAACAGGGTTGTTGGTCCAGGCTCCTTCTGAACACGCTGAAGGCTGGGGAATGGCAGTCCTCAAGGTGAGAATCATCCTTCATTGTATCCCAGCTCCACACTGAGATTGTTTCTGGTATTTCATAAAGAGAATCGTCTTGAGTCAATGGATTAACTCCATTCCTGTACTCTACCATGGAGAGGTCTTAGTTCTTGATGTGGATTTTTAGGCTGCAAAGAACGGTTAGAGCTTTGCCTTTTTTCCCTAATAGTTCTCCACCTCTCCCTGTCCCATTGTTGTGCTTGGAGAAGCCCAAAAGGACTTACCAGCAGGCAGCTTATTTTCTTTCATTTTAGCCCCACGTCCCAATTAGGGCATTGGGGCTTGTTTTCCCTTGTGCTATCCTCTCCCTCAGACATTCCCTGAACTAAAAAGCCATCACTCTAAACCTCTGCTCCCTCCCAGCCTTACACAATCTCAACCACTTGGCAGATTTCTGGGATGCTTGTGATGCTGAACAGGAGGCGACTGGAACAGCCTCTCCCTGGGGAGGTTATAAAAGTTGTCATGTTGGCAATCTGAGGGAGAAGAGGGATGTGGCAGAATCCACTGGCTCCAACCAGCGAGGACCGTATCCTTCAGTCACCTAGCTTTGACATGACCCGGCCTGTTGGGAAGAATATATCTTTCATCTCCTTCCTGCTCTGCTGAGGTCAGTGGAGATGCAGCAATGCCTTTCCTCTTCTCCACAGGAACAGGCACTGTTAGGGTGGATAGACCTCTTCGTGGATTGAACTGATTTCTCCCTCATCCCATTCAGCTTTTCTTTCACTCGAAGAAGCTGTAGGACAGAAGTCAGGTATGGGATGTCCTCTGGGAGGACATGCTGCTCGTCCTACTGATGTCAGGAGATGCTATGATTTGGCCAAGGCTTGAGCTATGCTGCAGCTGGAGGTGTTTGCAGCTTGGGTTCTTGCAGTGGAGCCTACAGCAAGGTGGCTGCTGGGGCACTGAGGGTGAAGAAGATCCTGCCTGCACAGTGGGGAGATATTCGGGGAGCTGGTGTGCACCCAGCTTTTGCTGTGCAGCCACGTTGCTTGTGGCACTGTAGTTTCAGTGGCTTCATATAAGCATCCTGCTCTTCTATCTGGAGGTGCCTCCTGTGCCCCTGAAGGCAGTGATGGCAAGTCCCTGCCTCTGGAAGAGGTTCCAGCTTTTGCTGTTGGATTGTCTCTGTCCCCCAACCCTTTCTGTTATGTTCCCCTCCAATGCAACACAGCCATATTGCAAACTGTGTGATTGCTGAAATAACTAGCGTGTCTTAGGTTTCATGTCCTAGGATGTATGTCTTCTTTGCCCTGTAGGGATGTCTATTTTGATCAAATCTACCTTTTTCTTCTCTTTTTTTGACAACCCTTTTTAGTCTTGAATGCTGGTACTATCTATCCAGGCTCATGTTGTATTCATGCTAGAAACTAGACTTGATAAATCAACCGTGTTAGTGATAATTACCCACTGTGTCTCTCTCACAAAGTAGGGATGAACCTACTTTAATGCTGTGGAAGTGTGGGTGAACTTTAAAAAATGAAACAGTTTGGTTCCTTTCTTCATTGTCTTCTGTCCCAGGGGCTGATTGTCATGAAATGGAAAGGAGCTCTCCTGATTTACACCAGGGAAAGAAAAAAAAGAGATGGGCCCAGTGCACCCTGAAGTCCAGAGATGTTACATGTTTGCATTTCATTCTGAATGGCTCTGATCTTGGAATTGGGAAAATTCCATTTAAAAAGCCATTTGTGTGGTATTTACAACCCAGCTGGAAGTAGTAAATACCGGAAATCTTGGAACTGCTTATGCTCTCGCTCAAGCTCCTTCATTAGATAGATCATCAAATTCCTTGTGAGGGAGCCAGTTTCCACCCCATTCTGCAGGCTCCATTTTCCTTGGATTCGCTTAGGAGCAGCTTCTCCCAAGTGCTGGCACCTTCCCTTGCTTGGCAGAACCTTTTGCTTTTTGAGGTTTGAGCAGTATCGAGGGGCAGGTCACAAGAGCTGATCGTCACCCTTGGCTTCCAAGAATCGCAATGAAAGTTGAGGCTGGTCAGCACCCAGAGGTGCCTAGTACCTCCTAGGGCTCAGTGGCAACAGGAAAAGGACAATGAAGTGCTATCAGGGAACCAACATCACGAATCAAACCCAGAGCAGACCAGGCAGTTATCTCCCATGTCCCACTAATGCTGAGTAGGCAAGAGGACCTTCAGGAAGAGGATTATGGACTTGAGATGGACTGTCCAGACTCCAGAGCAGGCAGCAATGAGTTTAAACTGCAGCTTTCAGCATTGTGCAAGATCTCTGTTTGACTTGTCCTCCTTTTGGCATTCTCATACTTGAAGGCATCCCCCTTCCACCCCCAGATCTGCTCCACACACCATGGGGATGGGTTTCATCTGCTCTGTGCTGGCTCTGGTCTCCTCTGTGAGCCGTGGTGGGACAATGCCAGATGAGACTAGAGAGCCCGGACCAGTGTAAATTCATCAGCTGGCACCAGCTGAGGAACTCTGGTCTGCGTCATCCCACCTGATGATGAAGATGGACTGTTCTCTTTCCTCTCCAGCACTTTGAGGTTACATAGATGGGAAAATCACCAGGAAGAGGGGCCAGAGGGCAGGCAGAAGCTGTTAGGGGAAGTTGTAATCCTTCATTAGCAACAATGTCCTCTTTGGAGTTGGGTAGGGTGTCCTTACAGATCTTAAAATCTGGAGTGATGGTGCCCTTTCTGCATATGACGTCAGTGAGCCTGGCTCTAGAGAGGCCAGCAGAGCAATTGCGAGAGCTTACAGAAGAAGAGATGGAGCCTATAGGATTTCCACTGAAGTTCTGGTTGTTTTTGTTTTTTTCCCTTCACCTGTGATGGGTTCTGGAAGCGGATCCATGACGCTGCAGCTCTGCCTGGCTGGGCTGTGGCAGGCAGTGAAACGGCTGGGCTAAATGGAAAAATCAGCAACCTCAGGTTGTAAGTCAGGCCCATTTTTACAGAACGGAAAAACAGAGTTTGACTGTTATGTGTTGTATATTTAAAAATAATAAAAATAAAATAAACAGTCAAACCCCAAGCCAATGATTTCTAATGCCAGCAGAGTAATGCGGTTGAATGCTGAAAACTTTATTAGCAGAACAATGCTTCATTTTACAAGACATTGTTTTTCCACACTAGTGTTCTTATTACTCAGTGGTGGGTTAGGGATCCAAAACTTTTCGGCTGTCTGTAAAAACTAGAGCTCAGGCTGTCCTTCCAGACTTACCTCCTGTGATAGACCCGTGCTCAGGAGGGAGCTTAGACCCGTGCTTCCAGCTTTTGTCTTTCAGGGAAATGCATCCTCTTCACCGCTCCTGTATAAAATGAAGCTGATTACGATTAAGGAGACTGATAGACTTTAGCATCTCTCTGCTCACTGTCTCAGCTGTTTTAGAGATGTGATTGCATTGCTCGCTTATCCCATCCTACTTTCTGTGCTGATTTGGGAGAAGGCAGAAGAGGAGGAGAACTTGATCATCAGGGCTCTGCATTGCTGGAACTAAGGAGCCAGGTTTTGCTGTTGTCAGGTAGAAAGCATGGAATAGGACTGTGGCTTTTCAGCTGAATTTGTGGGCAGCTGCTATTGTAAACTCGGAGGACAGCAAGGGGAAGGTCCCCATGGTGTGTACCTCCCTACCTGAGGTTTTCTGGGGCTGGTGGGCCGAGCAGCAGTTGTTCCAGCTGGACTTGGTAGACACCCAGTGGGAGTAGTGCGTTATTTTACAAGCAGGGTGGGTGCAGCTTCCAGGAGAGAGTACATGGCTGTTTGTAGCAATAAGGGCATGTGTGTGTGTGTGTGTTTACAAGAAACAAGAGGTGCCTGCGCTGCCCGTCTGCACCTCTTTCGGGGGAGACGCGGGCGTTCGCCTTGGAGCAGCCCAGCAGCAGCACCCATGTCTTGGCAAGCGCTTGTTTGGGGGAAGATGCTTTTAGTCCTCTTTTTGTGGAACGGGGTTGGTTTTTTTCCTTTGTATTTTGGGGGTGAAAACAATTGCAGCTCAAAATATGTTAGTTGAGAAAATTTGAAAAGGGTCGTTTCTGGCAGTGTTCTTTCAAATTTTACCCCTGTTGAAAGGGTGCAGCCAAGAGGGCTCTAAGTGAAGTGGGAGGCTTTTCTGCCTGCACCAGGAACCCTGCTCCTGAAGCAGCAGCGAAGCTGATCCGGGTCAGAACAAGCTCCTGTTCCCTTGCCTCGCTGTGCTTAAAATCTCTTGGTGAAGTGCTTGTCCCTGGGAACTTTGCCATCCATTCCAGCAGAGCTGGATTTCACTTGATGACCCTGCAAATGAATAAATAAGTGCATATTGACTTATTCATTTTGCTTCACCCTAGAGATTTCACCTAAATTGTTTATCTCCTTCCCTCTGTTGGCCTGGGATGCTGCAGTAAACAAAGGGCTCTGCAAGCTGCGCCTGGTTGTTTCTAGCTGTGAAATTTATTTTTCTTTTTTGTTATGCTTGGCTCCAGCAGGCAGCCCTGTGTGGACTGATGTGCCCAGCTCCCCTGGCACAGCGAAAGACCAGGGCTGTAAAACTCCAAATCTGATTGTCTCAGCTGTGCCATCGCTGATGCTGTCCCGGGGGGATTTTTATTGTGATCTCCACTTTCGTCTCGTTTATCATGAAAATATATAATTCTAAAGGCTTTTAGTTAACAGTATCAGCTCTGAGCTGCTCGGTTGGGAGTGGGGACCTCTGTTAGGTGCACTCTATCCACAGGCAGATGTTACTCCTCTGGTCAAAGCGCTGGCAGCAGAAAGGAGAGGAGGAGCTTGGTGGTGCATGGGTGTGCATGGGGTATCACCAAGCAAGCTAAGCCTCAAGATCCCTCCAGTGTCTTCTCATCTTGATTTCCCTCCCTGGGCTCCTAGCTAATCCCTTCCCCAGTCCAGCAGACAGGGCCAAATGCAAGACTTGGTTCCAGCGGGATTGATTGAGATAGATTCCAAGGAAGGGGATCTGGATTTGCACTGACATAACTGAGAGAAGTGTCTGGATCAGCTCTGTGCAGACTGTGTCCTTGGTAAAACGAGGATTGTGGAGAGTGAGGTTCAGCTGAGGGCATAATATTGTTCGCTACCAGGAGTTTTCTCTCCCAACAGATGAGGAATGTTCCACCACCGAGCATCCCTACAAGAAGCCCTACATGGAAACGTCTCCGGCAGAAGAGGATCCTTTCTACAGGTCCAGTTACCCCCAGCAGCAGGGACTGAACACTTCATACAGGACTGAATCAGCCCAGCGCCAAGCATGTATGTATGCCAGCTCCGCTCCCCCCACGGACCCCGTGCCCAGCCTGGAAGACATCAGCTGTAACACGTGGCCAAGTGTGCCATCCTACAGCAGTTGCACAGTGTCTGCCATGCAGCCGATGGACAGGTTACCCTACCAGCATTTCTCTGCCCACTTCACCTCGGGGCCGCTGATGCCCCGGCTCAGCAGCGTGGCCAACCACACCTCTCCCCAAATAGGAGATACCCATAGCATGTTTCAGCACCAAACCTCGGTTTCTCACCAACCCATCGTCCGGCAGTGTGGACCTCAAACCGGCATCCAGTCCCCCCCCAGCAGCTTACAGCCTGCAGAGTTCCTCTATTCCCATGGCGTGCCTCGAACCCTTTCGCCCCACCAGTACCACTCGGTCCACGGCGTGGGCATGGTGCCAGAGTGGAGTGAGAACAGCTAACAAGGCGGTCAGGAAAGCGCGAGAGCGTTAGCTGTGGAAAAAAAGATAAAAATGGGAAAAGAGAAAGGAAAAAAAAATACCCTGTCGATAATAAAAGCGAAAGTATTTTGCAAGACTCCTTTAACTGAATGTTCACTGACAGCACTTGAGAGGGACGGACACTGATTGAAACCGCAGATGAAATAGTCATCGGCCTCGGCGTGACTCGCCCCCCCTTTTTTCTTTTGAAACAAAAGAAAACTCAACAGCTCGGCACACTTCTCCCCCGCCACGGTCCCCACCCAGTTTGTGTTGCTGCCACCACCAGCTCCGTGCCCTCGTGTCCCCCCCCTCCCCCTCCCCCCCTTCTTTTTTTTTTCCCCAGGGG